CCGCAGTTCACCTCCGCTCAGGGCCGGCTCCCGGCTTTTTGCGCCCAAAGAAGAAAAAAAAAAGGAGCCGGAGTGCCGCCCCTTGGAAAGTGCCGCCCCAAGCACATGCTTGGAGGGCTGGTGCCTAGAGCCGGCCCTGCAGACGATCCCATCTTCCCCACACAAGTGAGAAGAAAAAAGAAAAAGAAAAAAAAAAAAGGAAAAACATTTAGTCTGTTTTTGGACAGCCAAGCCAATGTTTTCTTTTGATACATGGGAATCTACACAAGATAGGAAGATACAGCTAACTAGTTCTGAATGTCCGATTGTAAACATGCGGACAGTACTACCAGCCAGTCAGATTGGTTCCTCATCCTGATGCTATTTATAAATCTTCTCCGCTACTAAAACCAAAAATGATTAATTATTGGGCTGCTGGATGATCGAGATGCTAAAGGAGCACTCAGGGAAAACCAGGCCATTGCAGAGAAGCTGAATGAATTCTTTGCATCAATCTTCACTGCAGAGGATGTGAGGGAGATTCCCACACCTGAGCCATTCTTTTAGGTGACAAATCTGAGGAACTGTCCCAGATTGAGGTGTCAATAGAGGAGGTTTTGGAAAATATTGATAAATTAAACAGTAATATGCACCTTGGACCAGATGGTATTCACCCAAGAGTTCTGAAGGAACTCAAATGTGAAGTTGCAGCTACCAACTGCGATATGTAACCTATAGCTTAAATCAGCCTCGGTAACAGATGACTGGTAGATAGCCAATATGACACAGATTTTTAAAAAACAGGCTCCAGAGCAATCCTGGGAATTACAGGCAAATAAGCCTAATTTCAGTACCAGGCAAATTGGTTGAAACTACAGTAAAGAACAGAATTAGACACATATGAACACAATATGTTGGGGAAGAGTCACCACAGTTTTTCTAAAGGAAAATCATGCCTCATCCTCTTTGAGTCAACAAGCGGATAAGGATGATCTAACAGATATAATGTACTTGGACTTTCAGAAAGCCTTTGACAAGGTCCCTCACCAAGGCCTCATAAGCAAAGTAGGCAGTCATGGGTTAAGAGGGAAGGTCCTCTTATGGATCAGTAACTGTTAAAAGATAGGAAAAAGGATAGGAACAAACATCTTTCACAGTGAAGACAGGATCTGTGCTGGGACTAGTGCTGTTCAACATATTCAGAAGTGATCTGGAAAAAGGGGTACACAGTGAGATGGCAAAGTTTGCAGGTGATATAAAATTATTCAGGATAGTTAAGTCCACAGCGTGCTGAAGAGCTAGAAAGGGATCTCACAAAACTGGGTGACTGGGAAACAAAACAGCAGATGAAATTCAATGTTGACAAATGCAAAGTAATGCACATTGGAAAACAGAATCCCAACTATATATATACACATACATACATACATACACACACACACACACCACAACACAATGGGGTCTAAAATAGCTGTTGCCACTCAAGAAAGATCTTGGAGTCATTGTGATAGTTCTCTGAAAACATCTGCTCAATGTGCAGCAGCAGTCAAAAAAAATTAACAATGTTAGGAACCGTTAGGAAAGGGATAGATAAGACAGAAAATAACAATGCTGCTATATGAATCCATGGTACTCTCACACCTTCAATACTGTTTGCAGGTCTGGTCACCCCATCTCAAAACGTATATTAGATTTGGAAAAAAGGACAAAGAAGGGCAACAAAAATGATTAGGGAACAGCTTCCCTACGTTTGTGACTGTTCATTTTAGAAAGGAGGTGACTAAGGGGGGTGGGTGTGACTAGGGATGTCTTATTTACTCCTTTATAAGAACACAAGAACCTGGGGACACTTAATGAAATCAATAGCCAGCAGTTTTAAAACAAATATAAGGAAGTACTTCTTCACACAATGCACAGGTCAACCTGTGGAGCTCATTGCCAGGGGATGTGGTGAAGGCCAAAAATATAACTGGGGTCAAAATAAGAATTAGAGAAGTTCATGGAGGATAGGTCCATCAATGGCTATTAACCAAGATGGTCAGAGATGCAACCCAATGCTTTAGGTGTCCCTAAATCTCTGACTGCCAGAAGCTGGCCAGAAGAGACCATAACGATTGTATAGTATGACCTGCACATTGCAGGCCACAGAACCTCAGCCACCCACTCCTGTAATAGACCCATAACCTCTGGCTGAGTTACTAAGTTCTCAAATAATTGTTTAAAGATGTCCAGTTACACAGAATCCACCATTCACACTAGTTTAAACCTGCAAGTGATCCATGCCCCATGCTGCAGAGGAAAGCAAAAAAACTCCAGGGTGTCTGCCAATCTGACCCAGGGGAAAATTCCTTCTCAACCTCAAATATGGTGATCAGTTAAACCCTGAGCATGTGGGCAAGACCCATCAGTCAGACACCTGAGAAAGAATTGGCTGTAGTAACTCAGAGCCCTCCCCATCTAGTGTCCCATCGCCAGCCGTTGGAGATATTTGCTAATAGCTGTCGCAGATCGGCTAGATGCTATTATAGGCAGTCTTGTCATCCCCTCCATAAACTTATCAAGCTCAGTCGTGAAGCCAGTAAGGTTTTTTGCCCCTCTACTCCCCGTGGAAGGCTGTTCAGAACTTCACTCCTCTGATGGTTAGAAACCTTCATCTAATTTCAAGCCTAAACTTGTTGATGGCCAGTTTATATCCATCGGTTCTGTTCACTCCCTCTGAAGCATTTGGCATTGGCCACTGTCTGAAGACAGGATACTGAGCTAGATGGACCTTTGGTCTGACCCAGTATTGCCGTTCTTATGTTCTTATCTCCATTTCTTTCTGGATTTTTTTTGGTAGGATGTTGGGCTTTGATTGGCCCTCAGGAGGCAAGCGGTCCCCTGGGCGGAGAGCTAACTGTACAGTGTTGGTATGGCAGAGGCTATGAGAATTATATTAAATACTGGTGCAGAGGAACAACTTGGACATCCTGCCTCATAGTTGTTATGACAGGGTCAGAGGCAATTGTGAAGCACGACAGAGTCTCCATCAAAGACATTCACACTTTCTGCACGTTCATAGTGACCATGAAAAACCTCACAGAGAAAGACTCCGGGACTTACTGGTGTGGGATAGACAAACTGGGATTGGATCTCATGTTCTCTGTGAAAGTGAATGTTCTTCCAGGTAAGTTCCTGCATGAGTCTTCTTTGATTTTTACTGCCTTAAGTCTGCACACAGACTTATACTGGAACAAGGAGTGTGAATTGTAACCAGACGTAATTACTGCAGTGCACGTTTGTATGTAGACCAGTCCGAAGATGTAAGCTAAACTGATAAAAACAATTTTAAACCTGGGGTCTAGGAGTGTCCAAGCACAAGGTTGTACTAGTTGAACTAACTTGGTTTAAAGTCACGTGTAGTTCAATCAGTGCAACTGTGTTTTTAGACCAGGCCTAAACTGAAGAGAAATGTATAAGGGATATAAACCCTCCTGCTTCAGGGCAAAAACCAACCACCAAATGAGGGGAGCTGGAAGAAGTGTCCGCTATGAGCAGATTATTCCTTAATTATGGGACTCTTGCCCCTTCCTCTAAAGTAGTGGCCACTGTCAGAGGCACATCTGCATGGACCACTGGTTTGATCGAGTACGACAATTCCCATGTTCCAGTATAAAGAAGTGCCAGAGACGGGTGTAGGAGAACGAATACTGACTTGGGCTAGGATGGCGTGGGGAAGAAGAGGGGAGGCCAGAAACAGCCGGCGGAGCGAGAGCCTAGTAACAAAACAGAATGTTTAAGTTACACATGTGCAGCAGCAACTTGGCTGTGTCCGCCCTGAGCTGGGATATTTTTGCTGAAAGTCAAACTCTCGTTACAAGTTAATTGGAGCTTTGCGTGCGTCGTGGTCAGGCCGTTAATACTATATTTGTAAGGCGATGGGACAGGGCAGCGATCACTGCACAGGAAACCAGGCTTCATCTTTCTAAACCTTTAATAGCTATTTGCAGTTTCAGTCCACAAGAAATAAACCAGGAGATCTAAGTAGAGCCACAGGGTTAAAACCAAAGCGTCCCACATCGCTGCTATGTAAGAGCTAGGTATTATTAATAGGAGTCATCCAGCAAATGCATAAACAGGGTGTTCAATACCTTGAAGACAAAGGCAAGTATATACTCAATTAATATGAAGCCAAAATATTCGGCAAAAATCCGAAGACTGTTAACACAGCTAAGTCTGCCTGTTCACAGCTGTTCCTGCCTCACCACCCCCAGCACCAATGAGAGAGACAACAGTTCATGCTGCCTCCACTGAGTCTCCTTTCAGATGGACTGCCCCTGAAGTGGCTGAATCCAACTCCATGGTTCACAGCAGCAACCCTCCTGCAGGGTGAGTGTCCAGGCACATTCTAGAGGGGTCATGACCAGGATGTGGGCAGTCTGACCTAGTGGTCAGAGCAGGAGCCAGGCCAGGTCTGGATACCAGGAGACCTGTATCTGAGATAGGCCAGAGGGCAGACCAAGAGTCAGGTGTTACCAGAAGATCAGAGTCCAAGACAGACCAGAGGCCCAGGCTCACAGGGTGTGCCAGATCAGGATGTCAGAATCAGGTACCATAGCCGCCAACTTCTGCTCCCCCCGGCCCCGCCCCGACTCCACCCCTTCCATGAGGCCCCACCCCCTCCCTGCTCCTATTCCAACTTTTTTCCCCAAATCTCTGCCCTGGCCCCGCCTCTTCCCCCAAGCACGCCACATTCCCGTTCCTCCCTCCCCCTCCCGGAGCGGCCTAACAGCTGTTTGGCAGCAGCCGGGCAGGAAGCACTGGGAGGTAGGTGGAGGAGCAGGGACGCGGCGCGCTCAGGGGAGGGGGGGGGGGAGGGGAGCTTGGCTGCCGGTGGGTGCAGAGCACCCACTAATTTTCCCCCCATGGGTGCTCCAGCCCTGGAGCACCCACGGAGTCAGTGCCTATGTCAGGTACCAGGAGCTGGTAGACAAGGGTAGGTGGGCCTAAGCATGGAAAAACCCAGTTGCACAGACCATTTCCTGTACCTCTGCTCAGTTTAAATAGAAGCAGAAACCAGTCCGGACCCTCTGAGTTTTCTCACTCAGATCCCAGGACTGGAGTCCTCGGTCAAAGTTCAGGTTTGCGTTCTGGTGGCACGTTGGAACATACCAGCTGTTAAGAGTCCTGTGGACCAGGGTTCGAGACCAACAGCCCCTGACAAAAGGGCACTGTGGGGGAGCCCATTTCATGCAACATTTTGGCACGGCCGGGGTTTCTACACTGCTCTCGGAGGGCAGGCACTCCCTGCAGAGGACACCCATAGTGCTGGAGGTTTAGAGACATGCTCAACTCCAAGAGCATCTGTCTACACTGGCAAGTTTCTGTGCAGTAAAGCAGCTTACTGCGGTGTAACTCCTGAGGTGTACACACTGCCAAGCCACTTAGTGTGCAGAAACTGCGCAGTTGCAGCACTGTTAAAAAACACCCCGACAAGAGGCGTAGAGCTTTCTGCACCGGGGCTACAGCTCCACAGTGCCAGTGCTGCAATTGGCCTCCGGGAGGTGTCCCACAATGCCTGTTCTCGCCTCTCTGGTCATCGGTTTGAACGCTACTGCCCTGCCTTCAGGTGACCAACCAGGAGTCCCATCTCTTAAATTCCTTGGGAATTTTGCAAGTCCCCTTCTTGTTTGCTCGGTGACACGTGCGGTGGTCTCAGTGCATCTTTCCAGGTGACCATGGCTGCTCCACGCACCAGGAGATCCCCCGCTTGGAGCAATGCCAAGCTGCTGGACCTCAGCAGCATTTGTGGAGAGGAAGCTGTCCCAGTCCCAGCTGCGTTCCAGCCATAGGAATTATGATACCTACAGACAGATTTCACAATGCATGATAGAGCTATTTTCCAGCCACACTCAGGTCACACCAGCAAGCCTTTCTTGGCGTGGTAGAAACAAACTTTACTTTTAGGTTGGAAGCAACAAAATCAGAGACAGCTTTATTTAAGCAATTGCAAGGGAAGAATACAGCTGGCAGAGAGCATTTTTGCCTTGGTTTTTTTAAAGTACAAACAAAAATCACACAAACATTTATATTTTTTGTGACGTGCATTAAAAACATTTGCATTTTATTTAGGCTATTAATTTTTTTTTTTTCCTCTTTTCTTCAAAACATCGTTAACTCAAGGCTAGGTCACACGGACTATTTTGCAGTTTCTCACTTGTTTCTTGTTTTTAAAAGAGGGCGTCATCACAACCCCTTTGTCCGGACTGAACACACCTGTGTTTTTTTGAATGCATTATTACAACCCCTCAACTTAATAGGTCTGACTTAAGCCACACATTGGCTTACCCTGGGGCAACACCACATTTCCGAGCCCTGCGTACGCATACAACTAACCTTACATGGGGCAACCAGTTCCCCAACACCACTTTGTGTCTGATCTTGTTGCATAAACAAAAGTTCGCATGGCGTGAGCCCAAAGGGACAGACAGCCCCACGGTCAGTCCTCCTCTGATACCCCAATAGAGATTTCAAAAGGTCTCTTACCTCTGAGTTGGCGCCTGGGGTTCAAAGGGGGACGGTCTGTAGCGGTCACTGCATCAGCTGGGCATAGCCATCCAAGTCATGGCACCAAATATTGTGGTAGAAACAAACTCCACTCTTAGGTTGGAAGCAACAAAATCAGACAGCTTTATTCAAGCAATTGCAAGGGAAGAATACAGCTGGCAGAGAGCATCTCTGCCTCAGTTTCTCCAAAGTACAAACAAAATCACACAAACATTTATACCTCTTGTGACGTGAATTAATTAAAAACATCGGCATTTTATTTAGGCTATTTTTTTTAATTTTTTTTTTTATCTCAAGGCTAAGTCACACTGACTATTTTGCTATTTCTCACTTGCTTCTAATATAAGCCCTGCTTTTACAGGTCTCGCAATATTAGGCTAAAATTTAGCTCAACAATTGCTCTGTCTCTGCTGTTAAATAGCTGCACTTAAACCCTCCTCTTCTTTCTCTGCTTCTACATTGGCAACCATGAGGGCTAGAGACTTTTTAAAAAATGAAAGCTGAGACTCTGCCCTTATCACAGGACTCCAGGGGCTGAGGCCACAGGCAATTGCACCCAGAGGTTTTCTAGACACGAGACAAAGCACACACATCAGTGCCTGCCAGTTCCCATCTGAACCCAGCTCTGCCTCGCTGAGCATTAGGAATGTAAATGTAAAAAATTAACTGGCTGCTGAAGTCAAGGGACTAGCACTTAGACTGTACGGCGGGGAGTTAGGAGATCCAAATTCTGTTCCCAGCTCTTCCACTATCTCACTGTAGCACATTGGAGATAGTCACTAAACATCCATGCCTCAGTTTCTCTCTCTGCAAAATGGGGGTAATACTCACACGTCTCAGTCAAAGGCAATGAGCTCTTTGATTAAAATGCTACCTAAACAAAGTGCAAGTATCAAGCAGGGTAGATACAGACTCTCTTTTCCTCTTGCTTTTAGTACAACAGACCCAGTCCTCCATATCCTGACACCATGCATCCTGCTGGTTCTGCTTCTGATTTTGCTCACTGTTGTACTGTTTAGAAGGATGACGCAGAGGAGAAACAAAGGTAAAAATGATCCCTTTCCCAAGTAATGAGTCACTTTACTCTTCGCTCAGTGCAGCCTGCATATTCAGTTTCATTTCTCTGACCCGCAGTGCTCCTTCCACCAAACGTAACTGCAGAGAAACTGTCTCCAAATATATCACAAGCCTCTAGCCACAGCCACTCCCACCCCAGCAACCCCTCACACAGACAGGGCATGCGAAAATTGGAAGGCAGCCGGTCTACACAGGATCAAACCCCAATCCCAGTCATAGCATAGGCATCTAACACAGGCCAACTGGATGGGTGGGCATGTTTATTTCTAAGAAGCCTGCAATTTTTTAAGTGCATACGTTCCAATAGAAATCAAAAGAAAACAATTGAGAAACCCAGCAGTAGAAAGTCTCTCACTAACCTGATGGTGAATCATCAGCTCTTTGACAGCCACTGCTATAAAGGCTTTCTGTACCTCCAAAGCCCCAGGCTGGCTTGGGTTTTGCACTCTGGGAATTGCTGAACCTCTGACTTTATTAGCCACAGCTGGGCTAGGCAGGTTCTAATAGCCAGAAGCAAAGAGACCAATTCCCTCCCTCCTGGAACAACCTCTGTAAGACCTCCTTTTATTGGGTAACACTGATCTTTCCTCCTAGCTTCAATGACCTGCAGCTGGGCTTTAATTAGCCTGATACTGGAGTTCTCTTTTACTGGCTCTGGCACACGGTAAGAAAGAACGCTGCAGCTGTTTCGAAAGCAAAAGGAAAGTTAATGATTTTCCCACTGCCTGTATCACACACACACAAAGCAGAAGAGCCAGGGCTTGTCTACGTGAGAAAGTTGCACCAGTTTAACTTCCCTTTGTCCTGGCAGGAAATGTCTTATATCTGTTTATCTTGCACCTTCTTTCAAAAAAATTAAACCACTATGGAAGCAACTTAACTATTTTGGTGGGGGTTATATCAGGGCATCCCTATTCCATGGTGCCCACAGCCATTCCGTTCGCCCTCCGGCTGCTATCCCATGGTGTGTCATTCACACCCAAAGTGACTTACCTGGTTACCTGTTTGCGCTCCATTACCCTGGAGCCACCTGAACCACATGACCCTGCTGGGTTTAAATGCTGCTGGCACATGCCCAAGATCTTCTATTTGCCTCTCAAACCTAGTTACAAGTACACAGAGCCTGAGGCCACCTTGTCCCAATGTCTCTCTGCATTGCTGGTGGCAGCTGACTCTCCTTTGGCAGCATAGCTGGCTCCCAAGAAATGCTCCCAAAGCTGGGCATAATGATCCCACCATGTGACGCTGAGGCCAGTCAGACCAGTGTTAAACTCTCTGGCAAGTTTCTGCCCTGCTTAACTATGGGAAGTCCTCCCTGGGTAGTGTTACCTGGCTCTGTCCTCTCCTTGCCAAACATATCCGCAGACTCCTAACCTCATGGTAGCAGGAAAGAGAGGCTGAGCTGTGGAGGAAGGGCAAACACACTGTAGAGCCAATGTTGCCACTTTCCACGTGCAGTGAAAAGCAGAGTGGATCTGGGGATCCAGAGACCTAGAACTACTTCTGTACTGGGAGGTTCACCTGGTTCATTTAGGCCAGTGGTTCTCAACCTGCGGCCCGCAGGCTGCTTGCAGCCCAATCAATACAGAGCTGCGGCCCATGTGACATCCTCAGGGTCATACAGGTAGTATTGGCTGCGGCCCACAATGGTAAATAGGTTGAGAACCACTGATTTAGGCCTACTGGGCTGAGTCCATGTTAGCACCACCGGGTCACCCAAGTTCAGTGGGTTACATAAGTACCCAGACAGTCCAGTGTTTACCAAACTCATTCTCAAAAAGCCCAGACAATGAAAATTGCTAAGTGTTACGCCTTTTCCAAGGAGAGCTTCATATACCTGGCACTGCATCGAAGTGCTCAGCTATTGGTGTGCCGAGGGCCTTAGAAACACCTAGACACACCTAAAAATAGCTTGACTTCCTTTGATGCACTTCCTCTTTCTGGTTCTTTCAGCCCTTGAGGGAGCGCCTGGACAAAGGGAAAAGAACTTCCATCCCTATCGGCTGGTAAGGCAGACCCGAGGCAGATGCCTGAGTTTAGAATATTTCACACATTGCTCAAAAGCTGAAAAAGGCAGTGTTCCAAGGATCGGTCACCTAGTGCTGAATATCAGCCCTCGAAAGGGGGCATCTGTCTCCCCTGTGCTGAAGTAACTGCCGATGTGACCCACACTAGCACGACGTGTGACTTTCTCCCCCTCTAGTGGCTGGTCCACATAAAGGAGTTGACTACAACTACCACTTAGCAGCGTTACTGCTGTAGCGTAAGTGGTGGCGTTTTCAGTCTTTTAATGCTGAAAGTGTCAAATTCAACTCCACTGCTGACTCTGTTTAGGGGTCATTATTCAAACACATTCAGCAAAGGTGCAGAGGAGAAACTGATTCCTCGCTTCTCTAGCCCTATAGCTCCCCAGTGTGGACCTTTGGAAAGAAGGGACTCGGAGTTTTCTCTTTGTTCTGAACACCTCACATGCCTGTTTCAGGTACCTGGAAACACCCCGTCGCCCTTCGTTACCAGTGAACCTGCAGCCTCTTGTAAGGCAGCCATCTGCATGCCCATGGAGGAGACACCGGACTCAGCAGCTGATGAGGCTGCCTATGAAAATGTCATTCATGAGACCCAGGTAGGAAGAAAGCCCAATGGTTACCACTGTTAGCTGAGTGCTGCTGGAGAGCATAAGTCACCAGCATGGGAATTCTTCATGAGACCAGAGCAGGGGATAAGGCTGGTCAGATATTTTCCATCAACATTTTTCCAATGGAAAATTGGATTTTCAATAAAAGAATTCATAGATAGATAGCATCTATGAAGTTTTGATTTTTCATCAAAAAACCAAATAGCCAAAAACTGGAACATTTTGCAGTTTGGGGCAGTTTTCAACTGGAATTGGTTTTGGTTTTTGTTAATGAAAACAAAAGAAAATTGGTTTTTGGTTATTTGATTTTTTGATGACAAGTCCAAGTTTTCCATAGAAATGCCAAAAATATTTGGGTTTGTCCTACTTTTCCATGGAAAAGAGACATGAGACATTTTCCCACTAGCTGATGGAGTAATTAAGTAATGAAGAGAATGTGTGGGCAAATTCTTCCCTCTGGCCCTTCCTTCACAGAGCCTTTTCCTCTGTCTTAAAGATCACCAGTCTTATCTAGTGGCAACAGCTAATGAACTCTACAGGAAAGTGCAACAGAATCAGTTGAGGTCATTTTTCGCTGGTGCCCGGAGCCGCTCCAAACTAATCTGCGTCCTCTGATTCATGGTGCTTTTGTTTCAGGCTTCAAGATCGACAGAAGAGGTTGCTCCTGGCACAGTGAAATTTCCAACCTCACATCAGCAGACCATCTATGCCAATATGAATCCAAACACACGCAGTAGGACATCCCCCTCTCGTCATCAAGGAAAGCGTGGGAAAAAAAATACTGGATGAAGCTCAATGCTCTTGGAACGTTTCCCCTCCTACTGTTGGAATTTTTAGCGCTTGTTCTCATTTCCCTGCAGTTACATAGAAGCTTTCAGATTCCTGTTCCTCCATTATTCTTCTTATGCCAGGTCCCCCTGTACTGAGATGCTAGTGTTGCTGCTGAATGTGTCCCATTCCCAGCGAGACTGTTTTCACAGATTTACTTACCGCCCAGTGCTTCTCGTTCTTCACAGCAACTCGAAACAGAACATATTCCTGGTGGCTTCACCTTCTGGATGACTGGGAGCATTTCTAGAAAGACTTTGTATGGGTCTGCAGGTTTGGCACACTCCCCCTTTGTCCGCCATAATTTCCGCGCTTCAAAGTTAGACAATTGCTAATAAAAAGCTCTTTTCTCTCTTCCGGACTGAGTTCCTTAGAATGACTCAATAACAGGGTGCCAAGGACAACATGGGAAGGGGCTGATGTCAGATTGTATCTGTAATAAGCGATCAGCTCAATTCCTTCGGTAGTGTAGACATGCCCATAAAAGGTAGTCTGCGCTAAGCTGTATTTCCACTCTCCCCGGATTTGGAATCTCTTAGAGGTGTTTGTCTCTCTGCAGCCCATGCTCAGGGGTATCTGAATCCTTATCATTCATTACTCGCAAAATTTCCCAATGAACAGCTCATGCCAGTGAGACAGGAGAGTCCCACGGGGATGAACATGTGAAACGGGCTGCAGAGGTAGGAGAGCAAAGAGCCAGATTCACAGATGGCATAAACAGCTGCAACGCTACTGAAATCACAGAGACAGAGTCAGCGGAGACGAGATTACCTCGTGTAGCCTTTTATTCTATTTAATGTTAATTATGCTTCAGGGGGTTCAGCTCTGGCGGTTACAGTCTCAAGTTCAACAGAGTTATCTCTGTTTGTTCTGGACCTAGAGCCCATAGAAACACATGAAACCACAGATAATTGCGAAAGCATCTATCTTTTAGCAGTTTTATTAAAGTTACCAACAAAATCATAAATGTCGCAGCATATACAATTCCAAGCCCTTTCCCCATCCCCCGGCGCCTCAGCGCGCCGCATCCAGGAGCGGCCCTGGACAGCGAGGCAGCGGCGTGGCTCGAGCGGGGCCTGAGGTCCTCCCGCTCGGAGCCGCGTGGTAAGGGGGCGGGGCTGCGAGCTCTGGCGGGCTGAGTGGCAGGAGCTCCTGGACGCGGCTCACTGAGGCTCTGGGTAAGGTAAGCCCCTCTGAGCCGGGCATCCCCCCATCCCTAACCCCCAGCTCCGAGCCCAGCCCCTCTGAGGCGGACACCCCCCGCCCCGCCCCCTCAGCCCTGACCCCCAGCTACGAGCCCAGCCCCTCTGAGCCAGGCACCC